GCGCGGGCCCCTCCTCCGCCTCCGCCGCCGCCGCCATGGCCCGGCCGCTGGTGCCCAGCTCGCAGAAGGCGCTGCTGCTCGAGCTCAAGGGGCTGCAGGAGGAGCCGGTGGAGGGCTTCCGGGTGACCCTGGTGGACGAGGGCGACCTGTACAACTGGGAGGTGGCCATCTTCGGGCCTCCCAACACCTACTACGAGGGCGGCTACTTCAAGGTGAGTCCGGCGCCCCGCAGTGCCGGCGTCCGCCCCTCAATCCCGGGGGCCCGGCGCGGCTCTCCCTGCCCCCCTGCCCCCTCTCCAGGTGGGCCCGGAGCCTGCGCTGACGCTCACGCCCCGTTTGGTGCTCTGTCCCCGCTCCTCTGCCCCGGGTCCTCTCGGCCAGCCTTGGGGAGTGGGGCCCTCAGTCACTCTGGCCATCCGTTCGGCCGCGGAGGTCTCTTTAAGGCGGCTTTATGTGCACCCCGCTTAGCGTGCGGGCCCCCAGAGAGGCAGCCCGGGGATCCTCCCTGTCTTGTCCATGTCGCGGGTCCTTGCTCACCCCACCCTGGGAGGGCTCATCCCCTGGCTGCCCCTCCCTCCGCCGGGCCCCGCGGAGAGAGATGGAGGGGGCCCTGGCGGACCCCGGCCGCAGCTGCCTTCCCCGCCCCCTCCCCCAGGAGACAAAGAGGCTCCCCAGCACAGCGAGCCGCTATTGTTGGGGAGTACGGGCCTATGGGGAGGGAGGAGGCCGGTCCGGGGCGGCTGGCTCGGCCACTGCTCGGGTTCCAACAAAGGCGGATGGGGCCTTGGCAGCAGGGACGCGCTTGGAAAGCAGCCACCCTGGCCGATAGCAGCGGCCAGGCCCTCTCAGCTCCGTCCTGAGCTTTACATAACCTGATCTCTGGGGAAGTTCAGCCGGGGTCACCACTCCCACCAGCCCCCAGGACTTGACCTGGCTCCAGGCGCCGACCCCAGGCCCCTGGCTCAGCCTCAGAGACTCCCGTCATCCTGACTGGCTCGTCTTTTCTCAGGTCCCATCGGGCAGGGCCATCTTGGGGCCCAGGTCTCTCATCCTGGGGAGCAGGGGGCGGCTCTCTGAGACTGGCTGAGCTTCTATCTGGTGTGACAGAGCATTTGGCCAAAACTAGGGCAGGTCCCGGCTCCAGGATCAGAGCCAGCGTTGGATTCTGGGTGCCACCAGGTTGTTCTCAGTGCCAGAGGGCAAGACAGGAGGGCTCCCTCCTGGTGCAAGGGGGAGTGAGCCCCCAGCACAGGAACACCCCCCCCATCACCGTCTGTCAGGAGCTCCCACCCTGGCACACGGGGAGGCGGGCGGGAGGGTGCGGGGGGGTGGTGTTGGATGCTGGCTGGACAGGTGCTGTGTGCACTGCACTGCACTGTTTTAATGTCGCCTGCTCAGTGGCCGTGAGGGCGGCAACCCTCCCTGCTGGGGGCAGTTCCTAATGGAGGTGATTCCTGGCAGAGACTCCCTTATTGCCAGGGTGGTTCTGGTAAGGGGGGAGGTGGCGGGGGGATAGCCCAGGGTTCTTGTCACCAGGTTCTGCGTCTGCCATTCCGCTTTCTGTGTGACAGGCAGACTTGGGGCTGAGAATGTCTTGGAATGTTTTAACTAGCTCCCTCTTCCTGGGTCTTCTGTTCGCCCAAGGGAGCAGCTGGCTGTTAGGATGAGGGCACCCTGAGAGCACCCCAGGCCAGCTCAGAGCAGGGGTGACGTAGAGCCCCCAAGCCAAGCCACCGTCACTCGGCTCCTGCTCTGGGAGAAGGGGCGTGGTTAGAGACTCCTGGCAAAGGGCACCCTGACACCATCTGAACCCTGACCCCATCTGAGCCCTGACCCTTAGCATTGGGGTGATCCCATTTTCCTAGAGGAGAACACACTGGGGAGGGGCTGTTGCCAGACTTCACATCTGCAGTGGGAGCCCAGCCTGGTTTTGCCAGCTGCTCTGGTGTGTTGGGTGGGAAGCGAGGGGAAGGCCCTCTGCCGCAGGGGATGCTGACGGGCGGATTGTGGAATGCCCAGTGCTCAGTGTTCCCAGCCACTTGCTGCAGCGCCTTCTTTTTGAGCCAGTCAGCCCTTCCCATTTCTCCTTCGTGAGCATGGGGGGCGTGGTGGTGGCGGCTGCCGTGGTCGAGGACAGGGCCTGGTGGTGCAGCGTATGAGGGGGTGTGTTTTGGAGACCTGAGCTCTGTGGCTGCAGCACCTCGCTGACTCCTGGGGTACCTGTCACTGCAGACCGAGGAGCTCCCGAGTGACCCCCCACACCATCCCCTGGAGCCCAGAGCACCAGAGCTGGCATGTCACAGGCCCTGCTGGTGCCAGTCACCCCCAGCAGAGCTGACTGCCCACCCTCATGATGCCTACCTGCCCTGCCACCCCTGGACCAGACACCTGAGGGCAGAGAAGCAGGACTGGTGCTGACTCACCTTCCCGGGCCTGGCCCAGGAGGTGGGCAGGGGCTGCTGAGCATACACACGGGTCTGTTTAATGCCCCCCAGCATGGGAAATGGGGCCCAGAGGGGTTCAGCAACAAGCTCAGGGCACGCAGCTCCAAGGGCCGGAGCTGTGCTGACTCAGGTGGGGCCTACTGACCCCGGAACCCCGTGTGCCTGCCAGCCTGTCCACTCACCACTTGGTGCCCACAGGACCACGTCGGTGCTCAGAGCCGATGACTGTGCCTGCAGCCTGAGCGCTGGACAGCTGATCCCGCCTGAGGGGCTGGGCAGCGGCCCGTGGGCCCGTCCTCCCTGTGGGCCCGTCCTCCCGTGGGCCTGTCCTCCCTGTGGGCCTGTCCTCCCTGTGGGCCCATCCTCCCGTGGGCCTGTCCCACCCACATCTCTGGCATGAGCTCACTGTCGCGGGTGGTGTTGGCGTTGATCCACCTTCCTCATTTACGTGGTCATGGTCTCGTGGGCTGGCCTGCCCACCATGTCTGGCCCTCCTCCCCTCGCAGGCCCGCCTCAAGTTCCCCATCGACTACCCGTACTCGCCCCCGGCATTCCGATTCCTGACCAAGATGTGGCACCCGAACATCTATGAGGTGAGCCCGGCAGACGGCCCGTCTGCAAGTCAGGGAGGCACACAGTGCGTGGCTGTGAGGTGTGAGCAGGTGAGCGAGGGAGCGTGTGTGAGTGTACACGTGTGTCAGTGTGGAGTGTGTGCGTGCACGTGTGTGCACGTGGAGTGTGTTAGCGTGTATGCGTGTAGGATGTGTTTGGGTATGAGCATGTGGGGCGGGTATGGGTGAGTGTGGAGTGTGTGTGGGCATGAGCATGGGGGTGCGTGTGAGCATGCAGGTGGGTATGGGTGTGAGCATGTGATGCATGAGCGAGTGGGTGGGGTGGAGTGGGTGGGAGAGTATGTGTTGGCATAGACGCGTGTGGGGTACGCGTGCATTAAGTGTGGCGTGTGTGGGTATGTTGGCGTACACACGTAGGGTGTGTGGGGTATGTGTGAGCATTCATGGGTGAAAGCTTGTACACGTGTGTGTTGGTGTGGCCGTGTGGGTGTGAGCAGCTGCTGAAGTGGAGGGGCCCACTGCTGACACTTCCCTGTCCCCCTCCTCCATCCCCCCACACAGACAGGGGACGTGTGCATCTCCATCCTGCACCCCCCAGTCGATGACCCTCAGAGTGGGGAGCTGCCCTCAGAGCGGTGGAACCCCACCCAGAATGTCAGGTGAGGAGGCTCTGCCCCAGGGGCCCAAGAGGACACGGAGGTGGGGGTGTGCAGGGCGCTTGGTCCCCTCATAATTCTCCCAAGGTGAAGACATAAGTAAGGATGTCGTGGCCCCCAGCCCCTGTATCCAGTGGGCAGGCAGAGAGTGCTCGGCTCTGTGCTGACTCCTGTCCCCCCAGGACCATCCTCCTGAGCGTGATCTCCCTCCTCAACGAGCCCAACACCTTCTCGCCAGCCAACGTGGACGCCTCCGTGATGTACAGGAAGTGGAAGGAGAGCAAGGGGAAGGACCGCGAGTACACTGACATCATCCGG